CTCTCTCTCATCTATCTCTCTCTTCTCTGCTCCTTCTCTCTCTATCTCTCTCTCTTTCTCTCTCTACAATCTCTCTCTTCTCTATCTCTCCTCTCTCTCTATCTCTCTACTCTCTCATCTCCTCATTTCTCTCCTTATCTCTCTATCTCCTCCTAATCTCTCTAATCTCTCTCTCATCACTCTCTCAATCTCTTCTCTCTCTACTCTCTCCCTCTCTATCTCTTCTCTTTCTATTCTCTCTCTCATCCTCTCTTCTCTCTCTCTCTCGAATTTCTCTCCCCCTCTCTACTCTCTCTCTTCTCCTATCTCTCTCTCTCATGCTCTCTATTCTCTTCATCCTCTATCTCTCTCTCTCCTCTCTATCTCTCTCTCTCTCTCTATCTCTCCATCTCTATCTCTCTCTCTCTACTCTCTCTCCTCTCTCTCTCTCTCTCATATCTCTCTCTCTCTCTATCTCCTCTCTCTCTCTATCTCTCTCTATCTCTCTATCTCTCTCTTATCTCTCATCTCTCTCTATCCACTATCTCTCTCATCTCTCCTAAATCTCTCTCTATCTCTCTAATCTCTCTCTATCTATCTCTATCTCTATCTCTATCTCTATCTCTATCTCTCTCTATCTCTATCTCTATCTCTATCTCTCTATCTCTCTCTCTCTCTCTCTATCTCTCTCTCTCTCCCGTCTACACCAAATTTCCGATTTTCACTGATAACTGAATTTCGGAAAATTGCAAAAAACAATTGCAATTTTTTTCGGTGTCTTCCTACAAATACAAAATTAAAGCTAATTTTCCATTAAATTAAATTTGTTGTCCATAATTAGCTCTCTTATTAAGGTCACGTACAGTTATTGGAAAATATTAGTTTTTTGCGCAATATTGCGAGCAAAATGTGCAATTTAAGAAAATTACAAAACCAAGATTTTCTCAAAAACGGCTCCTAGTTTTTCTTTAAATGTTTGGTAGGGATAGTGCTAAATGTACTCTATGAGATGACATGAACATCAGTTGAAAATCGTTTGACTTTTCTTTTGCGTCGTTAATATTTACATTAGCGATGATTTGTTCACATTATTATATTGACGCGCTTTAAATAATGTCACATAGAGGTTCTCGAAAATTCAACCGTTTGCTGTAAAAACTGGCTCAAATTTCATTATTTTCAGAAACACTCGAACGGCATTTTCTCAAAAACTGCTTCAATTTTCCTCCACATGTGTCATAGGGATAGTACTAATCGCACTCTCTAATATGAAGTAATGTTATATTTTTTTTTGTTTTTCCCCCCAAAAATTATTCAAAAATTATACGAATAGTAGTTTTTTTGAAAGATTTTACACAACGTTAATATGTGTATTTCCAGCAACTTGTAATCACTATTCTATTTGTGAGTTAAAATGCTTGAAATAACTTTTAATGAAGTCATTCGAAAATTAACGTTTTTTATGAAAAAGAGCTTCAAATTTTGCATATACAGTAGCGCTTAAAAGCCATTTTCTTACAACATTTTTCAATGAAATTTCCCATTCAGTACGAGGTTTTGCTGTTATTTAATATTCACAAAATAACATTTCCGCTCTACTGTTAGGAAACAGAAAAATTAAAAAAATTTTAAAAAAGTATACTTGGGCGGCAAAAGAAGGCAGCTGACAAGAATTTGTGACAAGTCTGAATAACTACATGAGACCAAAGAAAATTGAAAAAAATACGAGAAAGTGTGTGCCATTCTGTAGCACCACTAGCTTTTTCTGGTTTCAGCTTTAAAAAGTTTGGGAACTAGAAAAATATAATTTTATCAGAGAACTATGAATATTAACCTATGTTGTCACATAGGCGGGCAAATTAATTCAAATTTGGCTTGCAGTTTCCATTCATTTTGACAATTCGTTGTGCTATTCAAATGAAAATATTATACATTTCAAAATTCGCGCCTTAAAATAGTGTAAGATAGTGTAAGTAAAATAATTTGTAGTTATTATAATTATGCTAAAGCCATTGCTGATAATCATGTTTTCACCCGAAACTATCACGAACTATCTATTTTCATAAGATTTTATTGATTTTCAACGATCCCCGAATGGTCAATATGACAAATTCTGTTTAATTTTTCATAACCCTATTATTAAATTATTATTAAAATTATATTAAAATACTTATTAAACTTTTATTAAATGCTAGTAGGCCCGGCAATGCTTCGCTGTTCAGTGTATTACACATTACATACTACTTGTAACGTGATTGTTAATAGCATTTTACGCTGCGCAGTCCAAAATTCTAATAGATGAAACAGTTTCTCGCAAGTACGGGTTTGTTCTATGCCCTGATTTTGACATACTTTTGACATCCAGTGAAATTATTTTTGCGTGGCCGCTGAAGGTCTATGGCTCAAAGCTATCGGATGAGCGCGTTCCTCAGACTTATCGGTTTAGGGGGAGCGCGTCCTTTCCCAGCACGTGTTGACGGCTCTACTCCAGTTGTGAAAACATTGGCTCTGCTTTGTCCTCTCCGCGAGGTGCAAGCTTTTAGTTGCGTTTCCCTAATAGAGTGAAGCACTTGTTCGCTTTTTTTAAAGTTATGTTTATGATTAGTACAATTAGTTCGGTTCAGAGCAAATTGCATAAGGAAGTCCTTCACAGTCAGACTCGTGAAGTCGTTGCAAAAGTGTATAAATTTATGGAGAGCGAAGCAAAATAAGGTATTAAACATATCAACCCGTGTATTAACAATATCAACTTAAGGGAGTGGCAGCTGCTAAGGGTGTTTCGAAAGGACGTATTCGCAGAATTAATAAGGAAGTTAATTTTATTAAATCGGGAGAATCGCGTCATAAATTTGGTCATGCGTTCGCTATGATAGCTTCTTGGAGAAATTTGATTTACTTGTCCGAGATGCAAGTAATAGTATTCCAACCAGGGGCATAATACTTCAATGCATTGAAGACGCGCTTGACTGTGTGGCGGTTTGCACAGAGTGTAGGGGCGCTTCAATAGTCATAAACGAATAAATAATCATCAACAACGCTCTAGCATGTCCGATTTAATTCAAATCACTCTTTAAACACTCATTACCAATAAGAACAAAGTGTGAAAATTTCAGCGAAATCGGTCGAGTAGCTCTTCCGTCTATGTGGGACACATACACGCTCCTTCCTTTTTATTTATCTATTGATACAGATAGATAAAGGTGTAAACATTTTATAACTCCCTTCACTCTTCACTTTTTGTGCTTATAAAACATTTCGAAGCTGAAATAAGAGATGCGGTATTTTTTTTATCATTGCTTGGCCTCTTGGTCCTCACCAATATTGACACATTTACATTTTTAAGCGTCTATTTTATTATTCATTATTTTCTTCTGTAGCCTAGTGGTGTAGGTGACGGCAAATGAACTCTAAGGATCTGAGCCCAGTCTCGGCGCGGGAAATCTTTTGCTCGTTGAAAACACTTTTCATGTTTCTGTAATAGACTAACATAGCGGAACAATTAAAATTAATGCGAGAAAGTATGTGCTGTTTGACCACCAGTACTTTTTTACCATGCGGTGTTACATACGAGGAACAAAAAATGAAAATTTTGGTGCAGTTTTTGAGATTTTTTTAATTGCATAAATTTCAAGTGCAAATTACACAAAAACTGCTCGATTTTTCAAAAAATTCTTCATAATCTTTTATAAAGAGCCGATTTTTGCAACAGACTTTGTTTAAGGCAAAAATTGTAATCTCCAATTTTCTGACAATTGACAGTTTTCTGACTGACAATTTTCTGCAATTTTCGAGAAAACGGATCTATAGTCAAAAATGGATATAACTTTTTACAGTCTATTATTATATACGAGTAGAAAATTTAAAGAAAAATATTTTGAGAAAATATTGTACATACATTTTTAAATTTGCCTGTAGTTTGCACAAAATAGCACGAAAAATCATGTTTTCGAAAAATTGAACATACATTTATTTAAATATTCGTCTGTAAGAAATAGATTTCATTAAGGAAAATATCTCTGTCTTCTATATTATAATTCTATGCAAAATTGCTCTGGCCGAAAAAATTACATTTTTGCAATTTTAAAAAAATCGAGGATTTCAATGAACTTCAGACTTACATCATTCCCTTAAGCGTCCGTATCTGAAGGCAAATTCTGAAAAAAAAATTGGTTTCATTTTAGAGAAAATTTTAAAAATGTTTTTGAGGCTTCAGTTCCCTCAAAAACCAAAATATCCGTTTCAAACGCCCAAAATCTAGAGATTATTTACATCGATTAGGGAATACAATATTGAAGAAAAGCGGTTAAACGGTTTAGGCTCTAGGGTTGACTGACTGAGAGACTGCTGTTTTGCTGTCAATCGAAATTCCGGTGTCAAGGACCAACAAAACATGGATTCTGGCTACACCACGTGTTAAAGGATATTTTTTCTATGTTTAGCAACATGCTTAATCGACTTTTTCGTTACCAGGGCCCGGCAATAAGAGTTTTTTTGTCGAAAATTTGCTGTTTTCAGCGCACGATTACATAACTCTCTTTCCTTACGAAGTACCTTCAAAAGGGCGAAAAAGTAAAAACAAAAGAGGTTAGAATTCGACAAAATCATTCCTTAATGAGAAAGAAAATGTAGAAAACAAAATATTTGGGTAATTGCAATTGAAAGGTAATTATGTCATGTCAATAAAATGGTAAATATATTTACTGAAGATTTAACTGTAGTACTGAATCAGATAATGTAAGCTTTTGCTGTACGTTAATCAAAAATAAATAATTTTAAATGACATCTCATCCTTAGAGTCCAGAAGCCATGGATACAAGAGCAATATGACATTAGCATTTGTATTCGACTCTACAAATTCCATGGAAGAAGAATTAGATCAAATTAAAGACGCGATGCAGGAAATATTTGATTATATGAGAATAAATCGTCCAGAAATTGCAAATTATGCTTTGGTTGAATTTAATGACCCTGGTAAGTATTGTTGCTGGGATAAAATCTCTTGTCTTGTAACAATTTAAAAGCAATTTTACAATGTACATATATTTTTTTACAATGTTCTAGATGTGACGATGTTGACCATAACAAATGATTCACGTATATACCAAGAACGTCTTAACTCTATTGATATATATGGGGGAGACGATTGCCCAGAAATGGCCATTGAAGGAATTAAAATAGCTCTTGAGCAAAGTTCGCCAAATTCTTATATTTTTGTATTTACTGATGCTAGTGCCAAAGATTACAATAACGAATCTGTTGTTCAAGACCTGATTCAACGGAAGAAGAGCAAGGTAGGTGGATATCAAATATCAATGCATTACGTTAGGGGCCGTCCATAAATTACGCAACGCAAAATTGGAGTATTTTGAATATCCCCCTCTACTCCCTGTAACGTACCTGTAACGCGTGATTGCCCCCCCCCCCCAACAATAATTACGTAACGATTGTGACAACCTCCTACCCCTTATGTAAATGTAATAAGTGAAAAGAAATTATAGTTCAGTAAAAATAATATTCATTTCATTTATTCAGTAACAACTTCTAATAACTTTAAATAATTTTGTTTAAAACAAATTAATTAGATATTTTCATTTTTGTGTGACAAAAAAAGATGTATTTCAACAAATGTTAAAAAAAAAAATTAAAAATCTTACATAACACTAATGCAATACCCCCTACCCCTATGTAACGCAGCGTAACGCTGCCTCAAACCCCATCTCCTCTCTTTAGCGTTACGTAATTTATGAACAGCGTTGTAAGGGTTCTAATGATCAAGCGTCCTTTGGCCTTATAGACCACGCTCGATCTTTACAACCAGTAAACGCCCATGTTACGTACAATAGTTTATTTTTTACCGTTTTTAATGATTCAATTACTTATTCACTAATTAACTAGATGTTAAGCTGATTCGGTTTGAAATACTTTGATTTTTATCTGTGCTTTCACATTTCCCTCCCATAATTCCGATTCAAAATTCTCTCACAATTTCCTCCTAAAGAGAATACGAGTATATCACAAGGCATTGCTCTACAGTTCCTCGCCAACTAGTAAATCGACTAAATTTGATCGATTTACAAGTTTTTGTCAAGAACCTGCGCTCTAATATTGTCGGGATTGATCGTGCCAACTCCAAAAGCAACAAAATCCGTTCATAGCTGAATTGAATACTTAAAAATATTCTTATTTTGTGTTGTCAAATTGTACATCAAATAGTAATCTATAAGTGGAACATCCACAAAATCATAGCATACCGCGACTTTTCGCGCAATTATTACAATGAAGAAGCGAATGTTGATCAAATAATATGCTTTCACATGGCATTGCACATTTCATACCTACATTATCAACATAACAACAATTACATCAGCAAGAAATACAACGATTAAAAGAAATACAACGATTAAAAGAAATACAACGATTAAAATAAATACAAAATATTCAAGTCAGTAAGGAAAAAGAAAATTCACAGACTTCAAACCCGGTATAAAGCTCATAAAAAAATAGAAGTAATTCTCTAAAAAGATCAAGACACTCTTCAGAAAATATTGAATATACATGTAATGCATCTACATCGTCAAGATATGAAGAATTAGGAGAAAAATATCCTAAAATAGAAAATGAAAAATTAAATTTCACTCATTTATGTAATAAAAATTATTCACTTCTTGTTCAAGACATTAAAAATATTGCCCAGGACGAATTCACTAAAAAGTGTGAACGGAACGAAACAATCATGTTTTACACAATTGAAGATTTTCGTAGTTTTACAAGTCTGTATGAGAGTGAAATTATTAAATTTTATTCTTTTTATAATCCATCAGTTAAATCATTGTCAGTCATGATTAAAGGAATCACAGAAACTATCAGTGAACAAGAAATAAGTGAAGAACTTGAAAATAATTAATTTCCAGTTAAGAATTCAGGCAAACTTCACAAACCCCTCTTCAAAAATCCTTAGACATGTCAAAATTAATTACATCTTTTGTGTTTTGTACTTAATAAGACAACTTCATGTTATTACGCCAAGTTATGAAATTCAATGTGGAAATTAACGGAGATTCACGTTTTGAAGTCCCCTGAGATCGAAAACGTTATTTTCAATACCTCTTCCTCTCCCTGTGTCTTGTTGGGCGTCTGTCTCTGTATGTCTGGTATATGTACATGTGTGTGTGTGTGTGTGTGTGTACCTAGCTGCGTCCAAGTGATTGCCTGAGTGTCTGCGTGTCTGCCGGTCTGTGGCTGTTGATGTTTCTCTGCGACTTCTGTGCCTGTATGTGATGGTTTGTCTTCTGCCTCTCTCTCTCATCACGTGCGTGATGCTTTGCCTGTAGTTGGTTTGTATATCGGGTTTCTCGAACCTTATATCAGCTTACCCCGTAGATTGGATCGAGGTGATCCCTACCTTTATCGATCTACATTGCTCTGTCTTAAATTTATGTGCTACCCACGGGCGCGTGGTGCATTCGCGAGGTGGTGCGTAGCTGCCCGATGTCCGCCGCATCCATGATGATTTTGTGGTGCGCTCTTGGGGATTAGCTGGCAAACTACTACCGAGTTGCTTAACTGAACTGTTCCGATAATTCATCTAACCACTCCTGAGCACAAGGGACGAGGCAGGGTGGTGGGAGGGTATCTCCCGCCTTCGACAGACCACGCTCGCAGTGGGCCCCTGGGACAAGCTTTGGTAAGGGATGGAGAGTAGCACGAGTGTGTCCGCGCACCGACACTGCACGTAGCCGTATCGAACTGCACAGATTAGCCCTTTCTGTGCCGGGGGTGTAGTTGGCGTGACACACGGGTCGTGGCGTGCAGGAGTCCAGAAGACTCACTGCAATGCAAATTGCCGGAAATGTAAATTTAATGGCAAATGACAAATGAAATGCAAATATATTTAAAATAATACATTTGTTAATTTTTGGAAAAAAACAACAACAAAGAATACAGGAACATGGCTATTATGCCATATTATGCAGAACATTTAGCACTATCCATACAAAAAGTTCAAAGATACAATACGGAGCCGTTTGGAAGAGAATTTAGAAAACGTTTCAAGGGCTCATGTTAAGCACCCTCAAAAATTAATTGAAGTTTGTCAAAATCTTAGCGCATCGAGTGAGACCAGTTTACAGGGTAGTATCCAGCCTGGAAGAAATCTTATGCACAATTTAGACACTAGTGTTGTAAACAGACGACCGCCAAACGGGCGGACGTTTTGTGCAGAAAATTGTTTGGTATCAGGGAACCGCAAAACGTATATTTTTGTTGAAATCGCGAAATCGATTTTCCGCAGCACTACATAACTTTTTATGTACTATGTCCGTATACAGGTACGTATACGACATAATAAAAGACAAATAGTTCGTTTCTATTCGTGCCTATTCTCAAAATACGTGTATCGATTGAATTCTCTTATTCAGTGCACCCCAGCGTACTGTCTGGCATCACGTTCGGGAGAGCGGAAATACCATTGTGCGCAAGGGGCCTCCTGGGTCGTTCCCTATTCTCCTACAGGCCTACGGGGGGATGATAGGGAGCAATGAGCACAGGGGCGAGGCAGGTCGTGGCAAACAGCAGTTTATTGGGCGGTGTTCCTTACACAGGTTTCGGTAAACATAGCCTAGCCTCGGCGTGAACGGTCCCATGGAAGACCGACCCGGCCATAGGACGTCTTTCTGGAGCTGCTAGCAAGGCCCCGAAGGGTCGGTCTCGACTAGCGGGGTGGAGGAATTAAGACCGATCTGAGCCCACAGATGGGTGAAAGGAGATCGTCATAGCCAGTTTGGGCCAATCCGAACCGTCAGAGGCACAGAAGGTCCAAACACACGGGCGACAAACTCACAAACAGAATTCGTCCCCCATTAAGGTGATGTATATGTTTTTTTAAAATTAAGCGCAATATTGCAATATGTGCAATACTAAAAAATAAAACAAGATTTTCTCAAAAACGCCTCCAAAGTTTTTCTTTAAACTTTCAGTAGGTATAGTGCTAAATGTGCTCTGTGAGATGACATAAACAGCATTTTGTTCTATTATTTCGTTTATTCCTTTCAAAAGTGACGAAAATGAAACTTGTTTGGCTTGTCTCTCACGTTGTTAATATTTTCATTAGCGCCAATTTGTTCACATTATTGTTTTTATGAGTATATGTGCTTTAAATAATGACAAATATTTTTCGAAAACTCAAGAGTTTTCTTTGAAAATGAGCTCAAAAGTCCGCATTTCCTCAATAATAGCTTCAAATCTTTTCTTTAAACATGACGTACGGGTAGTGCTAATTGCATTCTTTAATATGCCGTAAAGTTCATTTTGGGGAATTTGTTTGGTTTTTCAAAAATTACACAAATATAATTTTTTACTTAACTCTCACGCAGTTAATATACACTTTTCCAGCGATTTGTAAAATCTACAGTATTTGTGAGCGAAAGTGCTTCAAAAGACTTGAAATTAAGTTCTTAGAAAATTTTCTGTGAAAAGGTTTCAAATTTCGTATCTACAGAAACGTTTGAACGCTATTTTCTTAAAAACTGCTCCAAATGTTTCAATGAAAATTGCCATTTAGGGCGAAGTTTTACTCTTATTTGATATTCTTAAAGTAATATTTCGGTTCTATAATTAGGAAACCGAAAAATTGAGAAAATGTACTTTGAGTGACGATAGATGGCAGCTGACAAGAATTGTACCAATCCCAATATCCAGCTCAGACCAAACAAAATAGAAAACGAATATCAGAAAGTCTGTGCCACTCTATCCCCTCTAGTTACTTTCTCGTATACGTACAATACGTATATACCGAGTAATGTAAATTGAATTGAATTAATTATTATTTTGATATTGAATATTGAATTAATGCCTTATTTTACGCGGAGAGACTCAGGCCATGAGGCCTGCTCTTCCGTCTGACCACGCAAAACACAACTCGCAGAGAAAGGAGCTATTTCTTGGGCGAGAAACAGGCGATTTTAATATAGCTCAGAGGCGTCATTAGGCTTGAGAATCTTTTACATGCAAGTAAATCTAGTAACATGGGACAGCCGGCTTTACTTCCCGAAGGCTTACGAAGGATTTTTTCGCCATTTAAAATCCACGGCTTAGATCGAATTTGAACCCGTCAACTTGGGTACAACAGTCCGATACGCTAACCGGTACACCACCGCCGCTGGTGTAACTATAGAGAAAGCTATGTAATGTGCGGAAAATCGATTTTGAGATTTCAACGGAAATACAAGTTTTGGGGTCCCCTGATGTCGAAGAATCAGTTCTTCATCAATCTTCCAAAAATTGTTGTTTTTGTTACGAAATGTCGGTCCGTCTGCCTATATGTCTGGGTATACGTGAACAACACCAGTGCATAAACTATGCATAGGATTTTTTCCAAACTAAATTAACCCCTGTCTATCAGAGCTTAGTCGAAGCTTTGAGATTTAGAAAAACAATTTTTGGGGATACTTTACGTGAAGCCTCAGGGACATGTTCAAAATGTTAAAAAACTGTATCAAATTTTTTCTTTAAATTTCTTGCAAGAATAGAGTGCAATACACCTAAAAATGTTTCGCAGGGCCGATTTTCACTGTTAACACAGAATGTTCGAAAATTGCAAAAGTTTTCGTTTCTGTCTTTTCCTTCAACTAGAAAATTGAAAATACAGAATTTTCCTTCAAATGAAATTTGTTGTGAGAACTTGGTTCTTTCATGAAGATCCTGCACATTGTTTGAAAATTTAATCGCTTTCGCGCAATATTGAATGTACTTTTAAAAAACATCAAATGCAAGATTTAATCAGAAATGGCTCCGATTATTTTTTACTTTTGAAAGGGTTAGTACTAAATGCATTCTAAAGATGTCATAGACGCCGTATTGATATATTTATTAGTTTTTCAAAACTTTTTAAAATGTAAATTTGAGTTCTCTCTCACGTCGTTAATATTTACATCAGAGGCTATCTGTCTAATTTATTGCATTTATTAGCACATGTTTTTTGAATGATACCAGTCAAGGTTTCTCAAAAACTCAACAATTTTCTGTGAAAATGAGCTAAAAATTCTGTATTTTCAGGAACACTAAAAAACGCAATTTTGTTAAAAACGGCTCAAAATGTTCTTCAACCTTTTTGTACGGTTAGTGCGAATTTCACTCTTTAAGATGATACAACATTTTGCTGTATTCTTGTGTTGTTTCAAATTAAACATATATATTTTTGAAATATCTCTTACATCGTTAATAGGCACATTTTCAGCAATTAGTAAACATTATTGCTTTTGTGAATAAAAGTGCTTCACACGACTTGGAAAATAGAGTTTTTCGAAAACTCAAATGTTTTTTATAAAGATCTTTAAATTTCGCATTTAGATTGACTGTAAACCAATACTTTCCTAAAAGCGGCTCCCAAGTTTTCAACGAAAATTTACACGTATGATGAGGCTTTACTCTTTTTTAATGTTCTAAAATTAATACTTCGAATCTACCATTAGGAACCCGACAATTGGAGAAAACTTCAAAAAATGTATTTCGGGCGGCTATAAATGGCAGCTGCCAACAGGATGAAGCAAAATCGTAGACCTAGCCCACAGAAATTAGAAAACTTTACTACGAAAAAGTCTATGCCATTCTGTAGCACCACTAGTTGCCTTCGTGCTTCTATTATTTTCTTCATCTTGTTGTTGGTGACATTGTTGTTCATTTATTGATTCAATAATCAATTTGTACTTAGATAATATTCATATTGACTGGAAGATGCATAGATGAAGAAAATGAAGAAGAAAATTTTCTTTATGACCAAGGGTATAAAGTATTCGAGAATATAGCACATACTTCAAATGGTTACATTTTTACATTGGAGAAGTCTGATGTCAATAAGGTAATTGATTTTTAATTATTTTTACGAGAAATAGATGTGTTTGGTAAAATTTCTATTCTGGCAAATCGGTGTTCAACAGGTTTTGGAGTTCATTAAAGTGGACACACGAAAAAATGAAGTGATTTGTGTTAAAAACATCGTAGAAACTGGAAGTTGTATAGCACCCGTAGATATTAGTACAGATAAATTTACTGTGACTATTGTAGGCAAAAACGCTTCAGTTGTTATTAAAGATCCAACTGGACTGGAAATTTTAGGGAATGTTACGCTGAATGTAAGTTCTGCCATATCAAGCACAATAGTCAACCCAAAGACTGGCGACTGGACAATAAAAGTAAGAGTAGAGTCAGCAGGTCGCTTTATTGTATCGGCTGACAGCTCTTTTAGTATTATTTACGGATTTTCCATAAATTCAACAGAAGAAATGAAAGAGACCACACAACGTCCAACTGCAGGTTAGACTTCTATTTTTTAAATTCACTTTTTAAATTCATTTTCTGAATTAATCATTTTATTATTTTTAAAATAATAATACAATAATATTTTTATATTATTAATGAGTTGAATTATCAGTTATACTTTATTTTATATTTATATTTTATTTTACACAAAATTTTTATCACAAAACATTATCAAAATTGTCACATTTCCTTTTCAGGTGTCAACACATCTATTCTGGTTCAAACAATGAATCATTCAACGTCTATCCATCTGACTGATATCAAAGTAAAAGATGATAAATATAATGTACTTCAAAGTCTATCTCTTTATTCAGTTACAGGCAAAAATGGAACTTATAAATCTGATTTATTTTTACCTCCAAACTCAACTTTCTTTTTGGAGGTATGTAAATTTCAGAGGACAAATAAAATTGATTGATTCAAAAGGGATAAAACTAAAGTAAGTGGGTGAATGTGGGTGTTAGTGAAGAGAGAAAAAAAGCAAATGAGCATTGCAAATATTAAACTAAATTTTTTATCCAGGTGCATGGAAAGGATTCAATGAACAATTCTGTAACACGTATTTCAGAAACAGCTATAATGCCCCTACCTCCAGGTGAGTCAAAACTATACACATAATAAGTTTCGAAAGATAGACAAATTTTAATTTAAAAAGTTATTTCAACTATTGTTACTTTTACCACATGTCATTTTGTAACCTACACATGTATAATCTGTAGTACATATCAGATGGTGATATTTGTACTGTGAATAACCAAATTAGGAGAGTGTATGCGAATGTATAGAATGCGAACAGTGCTTTTATAAACTAGTGTTTTGACAACATGAAAGGTAAAACGGTTTTCAGTGAAAAAGGAAGGTTTTCTATTCGAGAGTCTCGAAAGTTGCTGATTGTTGTACTGCTTTTCTTCAGGAAACGTGTTCAATACAAAATGATTCTGACAAACGCGTCCTGTAATGAATTTTTCCTGATTCCACGGTCACCAACTTATCACCTTGTAACTGCTTCCCACGAAGAACCAAGAAGCCTTGCATTAAATTAAAAGTTTGTGACTAAGAGTTCGTTAACCTGTTATAGATTACGTTTGTCAATGCATTCAGAGCTTTTACTTGTAGCACAAACCCATTTCTTCCTCTAGCTAAGAAGCAATTACTAAGTATACACCAAATGTGTTTTAATAGTTCTCCTTGTTGAGGACAGTGTCTTCACTTACAGAAACAAAATTGTGAATGCTAAATGAAGGCGAAGGACAAAATTTCAAATTAAATTAACAATTTTTTACACAGTAAATAAAACATACGATATTCGTGTCGTAAAATATGATTACAGAACTCAATTCGTTACCAAACTTGGCCTAGCGATCTCGTTTGGCAATATTCCATTCTCGTATAGTAATCAATTGCCTTACGACACTTTTCGTAAATAATTATTAATTACAAGTAAACATACATAAATTAGTGGTATGACTTGAACTAATTTCACAGTAAAATATATTTAGGAGGTATACACGACCATGTCATAATTGCAAGGTATCGCAAATGACGTCAGGCAAATGTACACTTTATTTTAGGAATCATGATTTGAAACAATACCAACAAGTGGTGTAAAATGAAACAGGTTTTCTCGTACTAGTTATTTTTCTAATTTCTTTGGACTTAGTTATCTTTTCGGTCTTGCCACACGTTTGCTAGCTCTCACCGTCCAATCAACAATTTTTTGAATCTTCTCAATTTTTGGGTTTTTGAATTGTAGAACCATATCCTGTAAGAATATTTAAGAACAGTAAACCCTTGACCTAAATGACAATTATCACTGAAACATTTCGAGTGTTTTTCAGAAAATTACATTTAAGCTTTATTGTAAATTCGAAATTTGAAGTTCTATTTAACAACAAATGTTTGAGATTTCAAAAAACTTCATTTGAAGTCATTTTTCAAGCACTTCCTTTTGAAGGAAAAATCTCAATCTACAATTTTCAAGGTCACGAAAAAAACCTTTTGAAATTATCGAAAATTCAGAGTTAACAGTGAAAATCGGATCTATGCCACCTTTATAATTGTGCTTTAGTCCTACAAGTAATTCAAAGAAAACATTTGGAGCCATTTTTGAGAAAATTTTGAAATTTACCCAAAGGCTTCATGTAAAGTACCCCCAAAAATTACTGAATATTTTTCAAAATCGCAGAACTTCGATTCAGGCCAGATCAACAAGTATTTATTCAGTTTGGGGAGCATCGCGCGAAGATACTCATATTTTTTAGCCTTTTTCTCGTATCTCTCTCGCAGATTCCCATTGTCCGTCACCGCGACCAGTGCATCAAGTACGATGACGGTGTGGCCCTTTGCATCCACTAAGTCAGGTCTGGTCCCCTGCGACACATTTGAAATCGTATTTTTAAGCCCATACGATACGAGCTAGTTTAGCGTAGGGTTACATAAAAAACCGTGTAACTTCATAGAATAAAATAATGCGAAGACGAAGTATGTTGTAATCAAGTAGCCCCTGATTATGCAATCGACTGTCCAAAAGGCATCTTTGTATATTGCAAGATTGAGGAGATACAAAAGGTGTTATCACTTAGTTGTTCCAATATATATTACAACAGCACAGAGTTTGTATTAATTTAATTTTTATTATAAAAAGAAGGCCGCGAGGAAAGTTAAATCACTTTTAAATTCGCGCCTCGCTATGCTAAACCCCGAGGAACATCGCAACCAGGAATTGTGCACTGACAAGGACACTTTAGCATTGCCGAGCTGTTAACCCGGGCGTCTTCTTTTGGAGCCCAGGCACTGAAGGAAAGATCGGTGTACGGGTGGGCGACCAGAGCAGGGCGACGCATCACGGGCCGTTGCAAGAAGACGCCATCAGGTGGCGCCAGCATTGGCAATAGAGCCACCGCGTTATCGGTGTGGGAGAGAGCCCACGAATCCTATAAATACCGGGGACCCGACGTACTCCCTCTGAAAAGATTTTTGTCAAGCTTCTCGTATAATATTTGTTCGCCGAGCTTCTAAATTGTATTCGCCGAGCTTCTTTAAAAGTTATTCGGGCCCACTTCAGGCCACTCTTACGCCGTCCCAGTGCACTCTCATGCACTCTCGGCAGTGCCGCGTCGCCCTTGATGCAACCGCGTCGGCGTTGACGATCGCGCGAGAACATGGTCGGGTCGCGAAAAAGTTTGTTTACGGGTTGAATTCGCGTGTGCGACCGGCTGCTGACCACGATCGGGGGACGAGTCGCTGCGATTAAGGCGAGACCGCGCACGACCCATGGCGTCTCCGCGGGGACACTGCTTTAGTCGCGCCGTTCCGCCGCCTGTGAACACGGGTGAGGACAGGCGTGCTGACGAGACTTCAGGCGGAGCCCGGACCCACAGAATGCGCTCCGTGCGTAGAATATATCGATCGATCGCCCATCGACAGTACGTCGCCTCCGACCAGCGCCTCTTCGCCAGAATGGGAAGGAGCGTGGTGAGATCGCCCAAAAGGGCGGAACATTAATTGATCTTTCTGTGAGGAGAGGTCTGTGTGTGAATTGAGGATATATTTAATTTGTTAGGGGAATATTGAGCGAGCCAGGGTGCACTGTAACTGGGTTATACATTTCTACTACCTGATTAAATTAAGTATTTATGATTTCAATTATGTTCTGTTTCAATGGCAGTAAGATTAGGGAATCCCTAACATGCATGCGCCCCCTCTCCCCTATCAATATTTCAGAGGTCACAAACAACGTCCGCCGACTGTGAGTCGGACAATGGCTGCCACCAAACGTGCGCCCTGGTATCAGTTGACTGTGACACCGCAGCGAACATCACGAAGCTGTTACGTACGCCGGGTCAGCTGGGGAAAGGGAAATGACGTGTTTCCACCCGTACTAGGAGGGCAGCTGCATAAATACAGCGGACTGCTACGCGCGTTCTCCTTGCCTGAACCACCGCTCAAACAGTTTCTAGTTTCAATAGCCACGCGAGTTGTTTTTTATTTAGAAAGACGCCGTTGTCGTCGTTAATGTGTGCAGGGAGAAGAAAGTTACGAGTAATGCTTTGTGAGGTTAATGAGTCGAGAGAAACATTGTGAGAACAAATTAGTTCACTTTATTCCGGAATTTATTTCACGTAGGCTATGGAGTCAAAGATTGTTTGCGCCAATCAGAACGCCGGAACGATGTATTAGTAGTGGCGGTGAGTAGAAAGTGCTATAGATACGCGAGAATATACAAAGAACGGGATTAAATCATTTGCAGTGTGCATGAGACTTTCACGCATGTGTGCAGTGTGCATGAGCACGCGGGCGTACTCCCTGCGAACGATAGAAGAGGGAAGCAGATGTGGACGCGACGGGCGCCTCTCGCGAGAGAATCAGATGGGAGACGTCGAGGAACGGGTCACGAGGCGGAAGACGTCGGACTTCGGAGGAAGGCGCAGATCGCTGAAGGAGAAGCCATTACGTTCCGCTGTGGCGACGAGCGAGTCGTTCAAACGGACGCACCCCCAGGTTGCCACGAACGAGAGCTTCCGAAGCCTAAGAAGGTCGCGACCCGCGACGCGAGAGCTAATCTACCGCCGAGAATGGCAACAAAGCAAAATTTGAAGTCGTAAGCTTCCGCGGCCAGAGTCATGTGGGTGATCTGGGCTGTCCGGGTGACGCCGCGTCGAAGGTTGTGTTGCCGACGTATCGACCATCCTGTCGTGGCATACCAGCCCTAGGAAGACCACGACAGGATGGTCGAAACGTCGGCAACACAGCCTTCGACGCGGCGTTACCCGGACAGCCCAGATCACCCACAAAGCAAAATTTATTGGAGGGGCGGTGGAGTGTCCTACCGACGTGAGGCCAACGATCGCTGGGGCTCGCCATTCAAGCGCCATTGCGCTCTGAATTCGCAACACACCAACGTAAAGGTTAAATCTGAGAAATGGGAAATGTTTCTGGATATTTGCAAGCTGCTTAAGAACGCTAGCGATGAATTGGATTTTGCTATTCAAATGTAGATGCCTTAAGTATAGATATATTGTTCTTGTATAGAATATTTAATGTTAGTTTGACAGGCCGTGGTCCAACGGAGACTGGTCGAAACGTTTCGCATTTGAACCACGGCCTACAAACCTGGAAACAACTAATTATGATGTAGAAACCGGCCGTGAAAGCCTACATTGTATGTTACTTTGAAACAGTTTATGTAATATTATGATGAGATTTAGTTGAGTGTGGTTCGTGTTATGATTAAATATGTTAAATGCTATTTGAGCTCATTGGTTTAAATTTTTGAGAGCTCACAAGTGCAAGATATTTTATTGTTGAATTGAATTTAAATCATTCAAAGCATCTTGTGACGTGAATTCCCAAGAGTAACGACCGTGCACGGAGCAAATATATGAAAAGTATTATTTCACAAGAACTACGTATTTTAAAGTACTTGCAGAATTTTTGAGTATTGTTCCTTTTTTGAACAAAGTATGTAATTGATTTATTTGATGTTTGTATTATAAAGTGTATTTAAACATTGAGTTCAAGAATACATGAGCCAAATTATGTTGATTTCTGTGTTTGGATGTTCTTTTTTACCATAACATCCCACTGCCCTGAGAGAAATTCAAAGCTTGTAGTGAGCATTCGTCTGCAACTCCCCAGCAGGCGTCTGGAGTACTCTAGTTGGGGGTGGCGTCAGAATATACATCCTACATAGACAAAATATCAAACATTTGTTTGTGTAAACAATGCCGTGTAATTTGAAAATCGTCGAGTACGTATAATTTGCGAATCAAAGCAAAAATACTTATTCACACAGTCGGATCCGAGTATTGCACACATGGATAGCAATAAACAGCTGTATAATCTATTTTTCTCAAAGCTTCCATTTCACTTTAACGCATGCTTTCCTTAGAAAAAATAAACATTTCACGGAAGAATAATACTTGGATCACAGAAGGAATTAGAACATCGTGTAAAACAAACATACCCGTTACTTTATTTCTAAATATAACATATCACCCGGTTTCCATGTCTATTTACGAGAATACAAAATAATTTTAAGGAAAGTAATAGATCGGGCAAAAATAATGAAAAATAATCAGGATATTTTTAACGCAAGTAACATACCTAAAGCAATGTGGAATACAGTAAAACATTCTACTACCTCATCTCGATACTTAGTAGGGACTGTTTTAAAGGATAATGAAAGAGAAGCCAGTAATTCGGAAAAAGTGGCTAATATCTTCTATCAACACTTTTCTATAATTGCTGCTGAACTCACGAGGGGATTCAAACCACAAACTTCAACATCAATCCTTTCCCAAAAAATTTTCGACACGATGTTTGTTTCCGAAACTACTAACGAAATCCTGAGAACAGTCAGTAAACTAAAAAATAAATATTCATCTGGTTTAGATGAATTTTCTAATTGTTTATTGAAAACTTGCGTACCTGCCTATATACACCCGTTAACTCACATTTTGAGTGCTTTTTTATGCAGAGGAATATTTCCACATATTTTTAAAAGAGCAAAAATTAAGCCATTTTTAAAAAAGGAGAATAAAAATGAAATTCAAAATTACCGGCCAATTTCTCTTTCGTCAGTTTTTTCAAAATATTAGAGAGGCTTTCTATACGCGAATGGAAACTTTTCTCAGAAAAACGGAGAAGTTGGAGGACAAATCCTAAAACTGTCATAAAACACAGATCTATCGTATACTTTTAAATATTAAGAAATTTTCAAGAATGAATATTAATATACTAAAAATATTGGTTTTCTTAAACAGGGCCACCTCTTATCGCACTAAACCGAGAATTAACAGCATTCTTGAAATCTCCCTTTACCTTGATATGCCACGTGGAATCATTACTTCCATTCAGTGTAACTTGGTATAAAGAAGATGAACAAATCTCCCCTACAACACTACTTTCGTAAGTACTCATACGTATAAAGAAAAAATATTGGGTGGATTTCAGTTTAAGAATTTTTATAATTTTCTAGAAGCAAAACGAAAGCGACTTACTATCTCATTGATAATGTTACACAATCATCAGAAGGAAATTACACATGCAAAGCTAACAATGGAATTGGCAATGCATTACAAAGCATTCGTCTACATGTTAAAGGTAATGCGAGTGGTTCATATAAATCAGATACTTTATCACAACTTTGTTGTTTTATTCATTTTGATAAAATGATTCTTGTGTAGTACCGCCTCCACTGGTGAAGACAGAATATTTAATTGAAATGCAAGCAAATAAAACAGGTGAAATCCCCTGCAAGGTTGAAAGTGATTTGAATTACACTATAAAATGGACAAAAAGAGACAAATCAGGTAATCAAAGAAAATATGTTAACTTATGTAACTTAAATCTAATATCTGAAAATAATTTTTTTAAAAATAAAGGGGAAAAATGCAATTAGACGTGTTATGTTAATTTTGTTTTGTTATTTCTCTAGGTATAACGTCTATTATCAGCGGTGCAAAATTTAACATCAAATCAACAGGTACTTTGATTATTTCTTCTGTTCAAAAATCAGATGAAGGAGAATATAACTGTTCAGCCCAAAGCAAATGTAAGAATAAAATGTTTTAAATGACCGATTTAGTACATTGTGTTTATTGATTCACCCAGTTTGTTAAGTGATTACTGTATTGTATGTTATCTAGCTGGAAAGGGTGAAAATAATACAATTGTTAAAGTACTAGAACGTGTGAAAGTAGCCATTACATACAATAAGAAGTCTTTCAGGAGAGGTGAAAATGTTCAGCTCAACTGTTCAGCAACAGGTTCATCACCTATAACATTATTGTGGCAGAAGAATTACACCGCTTTGAAGGTAAATATAGTGTAATTGTACATATATTAATTAATACTATTTACAATTAAAAAATATTGTATATTTGACACAGGAAATGGACCCAAGGGTGACAAATTACAGAGAAAATAAAGTCATTTTAAATATTATAAGTGGAAATTCATCAGATGAGGGGCTTTATCATTGCATGGGAAGAAACAAATTCAGCACTGGTTAGTATATGTATTATTAATTTCTATTGCGTGCAGAAAACAATAGAAAACTATGTAGCCTCAAGCCATGTGAAAGTGGTCAGAGGTTTTAATAGAGATCCAGGAACTCGGGCTAAATTAATGTTAATGTAATATTTTGTTTCGATTTTGTCTGAAAAGTGCAAAAAGATGACTGTGTTATTCCGCATCTTCTTATATTGCGCGTACTGACTGACTACACAGAAGTTATGTGATTGCTAACGACAGTTTACGTCATATGACAGAACCGCTCAAAGCCGCCATTCAATATTTGCTATTCACATGTTGCCTTATGGAACAGCAAGAGCAAGATTACGTGTATAGGCAAAGAAAAAGAGGAAATAAACATGAAGTGGAGAGAGTAAAACGTAGAGCAAGGAACAGCAATTTCGGAAGATAGAAAATATGAGGAGGAACTGAATAATAGAGTGAAGAAAGCAAACTCGGTGTATTATCAAATAAATAAGAAGTTACTATGTGAATGAAGGCGTTAAAACAACACTCCAAATTTTAAAGTCCGTATAAATACTAACATATAAGTATGTCACCTAATACGAAAACATAAAAGTAGAATCACAGTAGTGGAAATGAGGTTCCTACGCAGGATAGTAGGGAAAGCAAGAAGAGATCGGATAAGAAATAACACAATTAGACAAGAACTAAAAGTTACACTGCTAATGAAGGAAATGGAAAACAAGGCTATGAAGTGGTATGGACGTGTTAATAGAATGGCAGAGGATAGAAAGCAAAAACAAAGAATAGAAGCCAGACCAGAGAGAGAAAGAAAGAAAGAGAAAGAGAGAGAGAGAAAGAAAGAAAGAGAAAGAGAGAGAGAAAGAAAGAAAGAAAGAGAAAGAGAGAGAGAGAAAGAAAGAAAGAGAAAGAGAGAGAAAGAGAGAGAGAGAGAGAGAGAGAGAGAGAGAGAGAGAGAGAGAGAGAGAGAGAGAGAGACTACCTGGGAGACCAAGAGGAATATGGGACGCATATATACAAGATATATGTCAAAGGAGCGCTACACTAGGAGCGGCCAAGCGCAAGTCACAAGACAAAAAGGAGTATGTCAAATGGCAAACCCGACGTTGAGAGGCATCAAGGAAAGAAGAAAAAGAGGAAGAAGAAGAAGCAACTTTTTTTGATATTCTTGGAAGTAAAGAACCATTGTATAGTATACGTCACACTCAATCACCAAATTCTGCCAATAACAATTTTTTACCCGCACGCAATATGAACGGACAACATCCAACAAAATATCGAAGTCGTGTAGTTTCTATTCAGTCACTGATCGAAATGAATTACCCACAACGCGTCGTGGGTACGAGTTTGCTGCACATCAAAACACCCGTGGCACGTGACTAAAAGTGACAGCATTCCCGGTGAAATACTCCACAAGACTAGGCACTTCGCTTTGCTTCGGGAGAACAGACATCGGACCTGGAAACGGGTCTAGTTCACCGTCTTCAAAATACATCGCCCCGGAGCGTTGTGTTACATCGAGAGTCGTGAGAACAGCAAGAGGAATAATGAGACCTCCCCCCAGGAGTATCCTCGTCTTCGCCGAGAAGGAGCGCGTAGTCGGATCACTCGCCGCTGCACTGACCCATCAGTGAATGCGATCAGATCACGATCAGTGAATACTCTTTCGTTCGGTCACTTTCACCACAGCTAGCTCTACACACCATCGAAGCCATTGATTAAAAAGGCGCCCACAGTCCCATTCGACCGCCTATGTTGTGATCAAGACAAGACCCGTTTTCCAATAACACTGTCTCTTCGCAATCGCTCTGCCAAGCCTTTCGAGGCTAGTCTGCGAATGGCCAGCGTCAGGTCCTCGCGCTCTGTTCGGTGAAGTGTGTGGGAAGTCGCGATCTTCGAAATAAAATTAATATTTACTATTACCATCACTTTTCTTCTCTTGCTGTCAGTGGACTTCGCAGCTAGCCTAATATACACGTCATTGATCTATTTCACGGGATTGTTTAAAACATGTATTTTATGTTCGCAGATGTGGGAAGGATAGAGTTAATCTATTTAGAAACACCCAGCATCAAAATGAAGATCCCTTCTACACCTGGATTAGTGAACTCCAAATATATTCTTCAGTGTTTTGCTACAGGTAGCCCAAAACCAGCAATTACTTGGATAAAAGATGAACGTGAATTTGACCCTGAGAATTTTGAAGAGGTATTTCATCGGCCATTGTTACCACTGTAGCTTACTTATTGTTTACTCATTTTAATTTTCAGGAATGTTCATTTTTTGTTACAGTAAAGTTGTTCTTTAGTTTTAATGAATAGGAATATCAAGATTATAAAATAAACCTTGTTGCCGTTCAAAATACACATTGACATTGCACACGTTCACATTTTACATTAGATATTATGATATTTTGCTACTAATTTAACACCATTTGCTATTTGAATATTCACATAACTGACCTAGGAGTAACTAAATAAAATGTATTTCATTATAAAAAGTACTTAAACAATAATTCATCATTTTAATTGATTTTTCACAGATACTTAAAAATGGTACATATAATGGTACATACAATGAACAGATACTGATTATCCCTAAACTAACCCTCAATCATACTGGAAAATATGGATGTATAGCTGAAAATGAAGCAGGGACTGATGAAGCCACAAAGTTTATAGAGGTTGGAGCCATTCCGCAATTTATCAAAAAGAAAGAAGGTAAATAAGAAGAATTTGATATGGACTGTCTGTCTTTGCCTGCATGTCTGTTTGTCTCTCTCTCCCTGTGTCTCTGTATCTCTGTCTGTGTCTCTCCTCTCCTCTCCATCGTTCTCTCTCCTCTCCATCGTTCTCTCTCCTCTCCATCGTTCCTCTCCTCTCCATCGTTCTCTCTCCTCTCCATCGTTTCTCTCTCCTCCTCCTCTCCTCTCCCATTCGTCTCTCTCCTCTCCACTTCTCTCTCCTCTCCATCTTCTCTCTCCTCTCCATCTTCTCTCTCTCTCCATCTCTCGTTCTCTCTCCTCTCCTCTTCTCTCTCCTCTCCATCGTTCTCTCTCCTCTCCATCTTCTCTTCCTCTCCAATCGTTCTCTCTCCTCTCCATCGTTCTCTCCCTCTCCATCTTTCTCTCTCCTCTCCATCGTTCTCTCTCCTCTCCATCGTCTCTCTCCTCTCCATCGTTCTCTCTCCTCTCCATCGTTCTCTCCCTCTTCTCGCTCTCTCTCTCTCCTCCATCGTTCTCTCTCCTCTCCATCGTTCTCTCTTCCTCTCCATCGTTCTCTCTCCTCTCCATTCTTCTCTCTCTCTCCATCGTTCTCTCTCCTCCCATCGTTCTCTCTCCTCTCCAATCGTTCCTCTCCTTCTCCATCTTCTCTTCTCCTCCTCCATCGTTCTCTCACCTCTCCATCGTTCTCTCACCTCTCCATCGTTCTCTCACCTCTCCATCGTTCTCTCCTCAGTTTCCCCTGCGTCACACAGCAACGCCCAGCAACAGTGAATCACAGGTGGAGCTCACTTTGAATGGAAATAGAATTATTATTAAGAGCAATCTGGGGCTGCAGCGCCATTTAGTGGGTACAACAAATGAATAGCAAAACAACTTTCTGCATGAAAAAAACCCGTAGATGTGCCACTTTTCATGGAGACCGGGCACACGTTGCTTCCGCACCGCTGCTGTCCTCTGACGGAATATACCATCCACTTTCCTCTTAGCGACAGACGAAACATAACAATCGATTGGCATCTACCAGCATGTTATTTAAGTTATTTATTTTCTCTACGTCAATTTAGTAATATAAGTATTTCTGTTGTACATTTAATTGACGAATGAATGATTATACATCCCGTGGATTCCAGTTCGGAATCTACGTCCTGTCGACCAATCACACTCCTATAATTTTCGGAATCCACGGACAGAATTGCATTCTCTTTGCAATTTGAGCTTTTTTGAAATTGACTTCGATATTTCAAAGAAAATACACGTTTTCAGGTCCTCCGATACCGAAAAAGCTCCGTCAAAACCTCCGTCCGTCTGTTTTTTTGTTTAATGTTTTGTTTTAATTGGAGAGTGTCTATATGTTATCGAGTCGCCTCGTTCTCGAAGCCAAATCTTTTTGTGGTCTCTCTCGTTTACCCTTTTTTCTTAAGAAAAGTAGAAAGAATAGACAACTTTTGACGTCTCTTAATATTCATTGATTGTTTTTCAATTGACATGTAGAAATATTTTCATTAATATTAATACTTTATAATTACATTTAATCTACAAAATACTGGAATCGTTTTTGCTCTTGCGCACTTAAACAACTCGTACACGAAAATCATTGAATTACCAGTATTGACTCTTGTCTATATCGCTTGTGATTTCTTCCTTTTCGTGAGCTAGATTTTCAATTAGATTTAAAAGAGTTCACATCCTATAAAATGTTTGAGCGTGAATAAAAATAATGTATTGTTATCTGAAACAAAGTAGTTATCCCGCAAGATAAGTTACTAGATAGCATTGAACTACGTAAGCTGACATCCGGTGCAGGAAGATACTGAATAAACAGCACTATGAACTCATTTTCCGATTTCCATAACGTTACGGATCATAAATCGCAATCACATAACTTGCAAAAGTGTCAGAAGTTATGAGCGTCTTATACAGCTCAATGTGGCTCTTTCCAAAAGGGAATATGTACACGTATCGTAAGAGAAAATAAACAGACTTTACGAAAAATATTGCCATTACGGAGGTGACTGTTGTATCGAAAAAAATGATTTCTGTAAGGTTTCAGTATAAGTGAAATAAAATTTCAGAGCAACGATGTTACTCGTGTTATAATGTTACGCACTGTTTCATTTCTAGAACTCAACATTACAGTTCTTCAAACTATAATTCTACCATGTGATGAGCAAGAGGGCCATCCTACCCCAATCATCACATTGAACCGAACAGATGGAAAACCAATGTCAGATAGATTTAATTTTAATGGATCTTGTGTAATACAACTTAAAGGTAAGAATAATTTTATTTACTACTCAGCTGTACGTAGCATATTAAACTAATGTAATGAATTTGATTGGTGTCATTAGGTGACATGTAGGCTGCAATCCAATATTAAATTAAATTTTAGAAGTGTGAATACATATGTACAATTGTGGTGCTAAAGCACTACGTACTTTCTCGCTTTTAGTAATATTTATTGTCACGAACGCCGCTTTAGCGTCTTTTAGTTTGTTGGTGTGCCGGCTTGCTCAAGTGACGTTTGGGATACCTCGTTTTGAAGTATTGGGAGAGTAAGCGTTGCTGTGATTGAAAACCCTTACTTGGTTGGATAAATGCACAAACTTTAAGTAAGACTTAAAGACTACAAAAGATAGACATGGTAGGTGAGCACACTACCTATATTAAAGTTTCAAAATTAGAATTAAACATTAAATTACACAGTAGGCCAAAGCTGGCCCACATCAATTTACACATAAAACTTTCAAATTTCCTGTTAATTAAGGAGCAATTAAGATATCTATTGTTGTTTTAAATAATCGGTTAAGGACCTAGAGTGTTAAACCTTTGTTTGGCTTATTACACCACCATGTCCCCACTACTCTAACTCAGCTGTCCTCGCCGCGACCACCTCAATGGCCCGTCAGCCCCCTCATAGCCCTCTCCCCCTTGGTAGTAAGGATGCGATATCGATGTCTTCTAAACATTGATGTTTCTGTAGAAACATCGATGTATTAAGATCGATGTTTTTTTGGCATCGATGTTTTGTGATCGATTTTTTTTCTTTTCCAATGTTTTGTTTCTGAATGAAAAATTATCATGATCACAATACTGTAAAAGTTAAAATATGAAATAACAACAGATAGTAACATTGTTATTCACATGTTGGAACCAAAGGAAAACTGTTTGCACTACCTTATCGACCAAACTCTCTCGCCCGAGTTGACCTCCATGCACTTATATTTCGTCTTTCTTCATATTCATTTCACCCATTCAGATATGGTCAACAAATACGCTGTGGGCGTAAGGTCTGCCCCTTCTCTTCGTACTCTTATTCGGCGAATTGATAAACACTATTACTGTCAAATTAAATTCTAATGCACACGAATTTAATGTCAGAAGTTCCTACTCCTGTCTAAAAACATCGATGTTGAAGAACATCGATGGTTTTTGGTTGATGTATTTTTAACATCGCTGTTTTAGTTTTGAACGTTGATGTTTGCTGACATCGTCGTTTTGTTATCGACGTTGCATCTCTACCCGGTAGCTGACTCGGGAGAGAAGAGGGGGGAGGGATGTCGGCCTCTCAGACTGCTGGTAGACGGTTGGCCCTGGAAAATAGGTCTTTTAGGAGTTCCTTTGTGGTGAACACTCACCAAAGGTAGGACCGCGGTCGACTCAACACACACCTCACGCCAAATTTATTGCGTGCACTCGTCGCCAATCAGTCTTTGGTCCAGTGCCGCAAATCACTACAATTCACGGAACCTTATTCTGACAGTAACGGCAGAATCTGTACTAGGATGCGAAATGATGAACCGGGCGACCAAAGCTTATGTATGGGCATGAGCGAACGCAATTTGTGCGCTCGGCGACCCGATGCAAAGTACAAGAACAAATTCTCTCGGATGCCACTGACATCTGGCGACGGAACTTAGAGAACAGTCTGGCCTAGCATATGGCCAAGTCAAGGTGTATGGCCAGCTCAAGTGAAGCAATGATACGCACGGACGCGATCTCGGCTCCTACTTTCCGACCTCCGTGGCGGTCCGTCCTCAAGGGCAGTCTCGGCTCAAGTGATTTTCTCCCGGTCGTCTCCCGGTCGTCTTACTCTCGAAGTTTCCGAAATTCCTAGTTCGCTTTGCACGGGAAGTTCTGCGGTGTGACTGGTCAAAATTTAATGCGAATTAAAATTTTGTCAGCCAATTCCCGTGAGGTTCTAGAATGTTTCGGAGTGAAAATTTGCTTCAGAACGCTCTATTTCTCTTACAATGTTGATATTAGGAGCAGGAACGCAGCTGCATGCAGAGTTCCATGCAGGTGGTCACATTTATCTATTTACAGCAATGAGGTTTGGATGACACAGCCGGAGATTTCCCATTTTCGCAATAAAGTGCTCGCCCTAGCAGTTGGGTGGTGGGGGGTTGGGGAGGACAGACATGGGTCTGCGTCGCGGTATTCAGACTAACGAGGGTGAGCGGCCTGATTGGCCCCGGTCCGTTGCGGAAGGTAAGAGTCCCCTAGGGATCAGAAGGGGAACGTCGCCCAAAATCCTGCATTTGCGATTCACATACAATGAGAACTGCATATTTTTTAGTATTACATAATTTTCAAAATAATGTTAAAAAGTGAGATTCTAATTAATATGGGAAGAATTCCTACAAACTCTGTGCCGCCACATTATATAATACAATTTATACCAGAATTGTTTTCCGAATTAACCGCTGCCGATAGTTCAAACTTTCACCATAACAAATTGCAGATCACATTATAGAAAGTGGCACCATGTGCATTTCTAAATTCTGAGTTAATTTTTTAAAATTATAAAATTGTATAATAAAATTTTCTAAAAACAATGGTAGATAAGGCTTCACATATCCCAGTCGTCATTTTTTGAGAAACTCATTACAAATCAATATTTTGGTGCAAAAACTAAATGTTTTTAAGCAAATATCAACACAAATTTCACAATTATAACTGCTTCTCATACAGGTAAATCATGTTCTAACAATAAGATGTAATTCCCAGAAATTAGTTCCCGAGTCATTGTTGCCAAGCCATTGTCGCATTCCAATCTAATATTCCCTGAAGTAGAGCAACTTTTTATTTTATATATTTCAAATAGGTTTTAAAGAAGTTTCTAAAATATTAATGTGTATGTATAATGAAAGGTTGAATGTAAGAAACGAACAAAGTAATAAGAAATAATATACAAATTGTGAACTTCGAAGCATCCAACTGTCTGGAATTACGTTCACGAAGCGCAGTGAATTCGGAGAGGGTGACTATATTTGTATCCAAAACTACACAAGAAATACTCATATTTTAAAAAAGTTCACGATGACCTTATTTGAAGATCTGTTTTTGATAAATATATTTCGTTATGTAAAGAGTGTTTCTTCACAGTTGTAGTTGTAGAAAGACGTCGAAATACTCTTTTTTTAATTTTTAAAAAAACCGCGCTTTAACGAACACGAGACCTGCACCATTCTCTTAAGCGTCTTTTACGTTATCTTAAGTCTAAATATGATAAAAAAATATTTGTGTTGCTTTTAAGAAAAAATGATTTAAAGAAAATAAAAATTGCGTATGTTAGACACAACATTTAGTGAAAAATATTAATGTTTTGAAAAATTTAATATGACATTATTTTTAGATCTATTTTATGAACACTTCTCATTAAGAAAAATCTTTATAATAATAATTGTAGAAGTAGGAAAACGGAAAATTCTTGATTTTTTCCAATTTTTGAAAAAAAACGATTTTTCAACCAATGTGAAATCTGCACCAAACCTGAAACATCCATCAGACTATCCAACAACAAAATTTAATAAAAAAGGATGGTAAAAAGGACGAAAAAGGAACTATTTTTGAAAAGAAATTGCTGAAACAAAATTAAAAATTGCCTATATTTCACACCAAAATACGCGAAAAATATTCAAAATTTAGAAACATTCTACATGATCTTATTTCAAAATCTATCTTTGAGGAATAGAGACATACTTCGGACTTAAGATGAGCTATTCTCAGACCGAAATAGGCCCAGTGAGTTTTGAACTTCTGCAGTGTGTAACGTATTAGCCAGCGTGCCTCGTGGCATCTATTTGGGGACGCTTGGTAAGGGATTAGTAAGAGGAAACTCCTCGCCACAGGAAGGAGAGAAGGGTTTTTCCTTAAAGCAAGAACGCGGAAACGGGAGACACGAGGCTTTGGGGTCTTCCGGTCTTAAGAAACGGAGACCCAAACCCTAAATGGCTAGCAATAGACCGCGGCGGGGGCGGCGTTACGTAGGTCACGTGAGTCTCAACTATATAACGGAGTACACAGAGCCAGTGGGTGGGTTCTGGAGACTCTGGGAGAACCTCGTGCATTTGCACAAAACTTGGCGCGCCACGACGGTGCATCAGAGGGCCGGGCTCGCGTGGCAAGTCACGTGTTGACGAGCCTGTGGAGGACTTTGTGTCCTTGGGTGACTGCGGTCACGTGGGAGCGATGCTGTGTGCGTGCTCCGAGATGAGGAGTGGTTGAGTGCCACTATTCACGCCGATTCTCAATCGGGTAAGATCGCTAAGTAAGAATAATCGACAGAATGGACTAATGGTGAAGACAAATGGAAATTCAAACGCCAACATTTAATTTAACAAACATTTATTAAAGTGTTGTCTGGTTCATCTGACTTATTTCAGCTGAAGAAATGAGATTATGGAATAGGAAATGGCGTATTTGGCGATACACGAAAGATCTATTTAATAAGGCCACGCTACTGCGAAACGGTACCAAACACCGCGAAGGAAGCCAATCTTTTAAAGTCAATCTTATACTAGTGACACGGATCAGCAAAATCTATTCATTATTTGGATGACGCGTTAAAAAATAATAATATACTTCAACTTCCCCTGTTCGCGCTTTGTCCTGATATCCACCTATGAGCAGAAATACTAGGGTTTTTGGATATTATGGACAACGGACCGCTTGGGAAATGGGTGTCATTTCAATACCAAGGTCGTTTATAATGCAGGTATATAAAAGATTGAATTGACTGTCTATAATTAACAGATTATAAAGTATTATAATTCGAACTTACACAGAAACATTCAGACTAACCTCTTGACTACCCGGCGGGTAATTAATAACCTCCAATTAAGCATCCAATAAACAGTCACCCCTGCTCCTCCCACCCCACCCAAATGATGGTCTCGCCTGCTCTGCCCGCTCTGCCCGGTTTGATCTCGTCGTCTCGCTTGGCACAAGGTCCCCTGTACGTATTGCGGGTTGCATTGTCTTCAGTGACACAACTTTTGGGGTCGGATTTTAAACTAATTATTAATGACAGTTTCTTTAACTAGACTGGGTCACAATGAGGAGTCCAAGGCACTTTGCAGGTTTTCGACATTTTAACAACTGTGAGTTTCAAATAAAATGATTGTAGCAAAAAATGGGCAAATGGGCAAATTTCATCCTCTTTGGGGGAGGGGGACGTCAGTATTTATTTTCCTTTCTTGTTACACATTTATGAATTAACAAATAAAATGTTTTGTTATGTTTTGCTTCTAACTTCCAGAAAACGTATTTGCATTGATAAACGAAATACATATTTGATTTACAGTAATTTGTAAACAGGGAGTTTATTGCAGTTCTGATGGCCATCTAGCGGGTTAAGATCCTGATGGCATGGAATCGGGCGCGATGCAGAATTGTCGCAATGTAAACCCTAAATCCGTCAAAATTTTCGTTTTTGCGTAGTTTGTAAATAAAAATAGTAGATTTTTTCTTCGGGAAAAATAGAAGTATCTTCAGAGTTTCTCAGAAATGACATTATCAACGCCACCGTCTCACTAGTATTTTGCAATAGTAATGGACGCGTCATCACATCGAAAGTCGCAGTGAAAGAAAACTACTCCATAACTCTAAATACGTTTCTTGCTAGCATTTTACTCACCACGTACGAGTAAGTAACCCCGCGGAAAAAGTTTCGCGTCAACAATATCTATTTTTTTAATTTTACTCGAAATATTGGGACTTTTTAATGCTCATTAAAGTAATCATGAGCACCTGTAATTTAAAAAATTAAATTATTAATCATTCTCAGGAAAAAAAGTAAATGTGTTTGAGAAATATGTGATTATTGTTGTGTAACTTATTCATTTCTTAAAATTTCTGCAGGGGCTCGTGCTGAAGATCAGGGCACATATGTCATCATGGCAAAAAACAAGTACGGATCTAGCAGTAAGGAATTAAAAATACATATAACAGGCTTAGGTAGGTACACGCTTTCTTTTAGTTATTCCTACAAATGTGTTATTTATTGCTGTATTTTGTTTTGTAATTTGTGTTATCCTAGTGGATATAACATTAAGATTACGAAAACATGTGTACTTTGCAATAAATATTACAAAAAATAACAACAAAAATCTTCATCTTTGCAGAGAAACCCATTTTGGACCCTGATAGTGATGAAATATCTACTGAAAGAAAACGTAAAGAACTAACTTGTCCCCTGCAGAAGGGGTACCCTCCTCCGATAGTCAAATGGTACAAAGATGGAATATATTTGGATCATAAAAATCTTTCGAAACTGCATGCAAAACAGTACCCAAATAGATCACTCATTATTTCTTATATTCAACCTGTACACAAAGGCTTGTATGAATGCAGAGTGTCTAATCTTGGAGGAGAAAACAAGAGGAAAGTAAACTTAACGGTGCTCAGTACGTATACGTAATAATGAAAATTCTACACAAACGAATTCAAAGATAATGATCATTCTTTTTCTTTCTTTTTTCTTTAAATGAAACAAATTCATTGACTGGAAATTTTGCTCTTATCAACAATATTCTTTCATTCATTTCTGTCGTAGAAGCTCCCTGTTCAATTAATAATTTTCTTTCTCTGTAACTCCTTCAGAACATACACTTTCAAAAGTTTCGGGTCTTCCTTGTGCTTTTGTAGAAATGGCTTTGATTTAAACATTCCTTTTGACACGCTTTTTAAGGAATTCTATTAACATATTCACATCATCGTAGTATGAAGAAATTCAATATTTTTTCGTTCCTGATCCTCTGATTTATTTCGTAAATTATGAGATTCTTTCTTGCGTTCTTTCTTTAACTGAGTTTTCACTCTGTTCCATAAATTCTTTTCATTATTTTCTCACTCAGGATCAGTAGTTCCTTGATCCAATGTCTCTAATTTCACAATCAAAATAATATAATTATAGGATTTATCACAGCATTATGAGGTCTGCCTTTAACCATTTTAATTTCCAGTTACATTCTCTCTCTCCCTCTCTTTTCCTCTCTCTTCCTATCTCCTCACTCCCACTCTCCTTCTCTCTTTCCCTCCTCCTCTCTCTCATTTCTTCTTTGATGGTATGATTGAGTTGAAATTTTTGAATAAATGTGATTTTTGTTTAGATCCGTTGCTCATTTTTTTTTCGTAATTGAACAGCGTTTCCCATCATCACCGGAAAATTCTACACAGTGATTAAAGTAAAAGCTGGTGAAAGTGTTCAATTACCCTGTGAAGCCGGCGGGTATCCAAAGCCGAAAATCTTATGGAAGAAAGATGCAAAGACTATTCCAACATCTTCGCCTATGTAAGTTTACAAGTAAATAACTTAAAACAGATCGACAGCCTGATATTCGCCGTTGATGACATGAACCAAACCGAAAGTAATCCACTTGATTAGATAAAGTTTATAAATTAAGTTTACACATTAACAACATAAACCAAAACATTACAGTTACCTATGTGTAACCTATAATTGTATGAACTTTAATTTACGTCCACACTTGCAAAAATTTGGATTCAATACCGACGCACATAGATACGTCGTTTACATTTTGCATTCGTATACTCTAGTCGTGTTCGCCGAAAGGGAACGCACGCAAAACTTAACGCCGCACAAAGCGCGCCCTGTCGGTTTTTCCTTGAATATCGCAGGAATTTGCGATGCTCCCCAAATCAATTGTAGTTTGAGACCGAAAGCAATCATGTACACAAGATAACTACTATTCACTGAAAGTGACATATCCTCACAATTGCACTGTACCGCAAAGAAATGCAGTGTTCATCTTCATGCACCATGTCATACTGAACTAATGGTACTACAACTCATGCTTTCTAGCATTATTTGTAACTGCTCGTATTATTTCTGGCACATCATACAGACGAAGGATAATTTTCCAAGTAAATTGAACATCCTGAAATAAAGGCCATCCAATATATCACATTATGAACGCATTCAAAACTGCAATATCTTTACCAAATTTTTCGACTTTACTTAAGTTGAATATAGAGAATTTTATTGAACGAAGAGAACATTGTATCATTAACGTCAAGTAAATAAAGCCACCTTATAGTATCGCTCACATCATGTCGCCGTTCAACAATGAACTTCTCAAATATCCATCGTCGCATTGTATGGCAACAATTCAGCGTACGGTGGTAGAATCAAATTAAGAGTATTAAAAGTTCGTAAAAAAGTATGGTCCTCTTTCTTTACCATTTTTTCCTTCATTTTATAGTTTAACTGTATTTTCAAGAAAAAAAAATATTTGGGCTTATTTCCCTTATGGTTATTACATATTGACGCAGTATGAGGCGATTGGCCCTGCCTGATACGACGCGCGGGATATTCGAATTTGCCATTGCGTTTTTTCCTTTCAGTTTACGAACAGAGAGCGCGCCGAAAAGAGAGCCAGCACTGTTTTCTTTACGGTTCTTGCTATATACGTGAAAACAATTTAAAAAAACAAATTGAATCGTTTCTGAGAAAATAAAAACAAATGTTTAAAATTTAAAACTATCTTTGTGTTACAACGAAAAAAATTCATATTTTTCAAAAAATTGATCATGACCTTATTTGAGTGTTTTTTTATGAACATTTCACTAAGAAAATAGTTATCATAGTTGTAGTTGTAGAAAGACGCAGACAAATTTTTAATTTTTGCAATTTTCGAAAAATTAGGGATTTCAATGAAAATGGGACCAGTGCCATTCTTTTCAGCTTTCTTTACGCTATCCAAGGTCAAAATTTAATCAAAATATTTGGTGTAGTTTTTGAATTTTTTAAATAAATTTAAACTTTACGTTTTTCTCGCAAAATTGCCCGAAAAGCACTCAAATTTTTGAAAAAATGTACCTTACCTTATTTAAAAATCTGTCTTCAAAGAACAAATTTCATTAAAGAAATATTTCTACCTTCAATATTTTTGTTGTAGGAAGACGCCGAAAATTTTCAACTATTGTACTTTCCGAAAAATTAGGGATTTCAATAAAAAAAGACCTGCGCCATTCTTTTAAACGCCCTTCACCCTAATCAACAACAAGATTTAAACAAAAATATTGTGCAATTTGTTTTAAAAAAATTCGAAAATGTGCTAAAGGTGTCATGTAAAGTACCCTCCAAAATTAAAATATCGCTTTCAAATTCAAGTGCCGCGGCATCAGCTAGAACGATTGGGAAATATTCATTTTGGTGAAAATCCTCTTTACGGTATAGCCGCCAGCGTTGTTCAGACGGACGGACGGACGTTTTGCCGTCAATCAATTTTTCGGTATCAACGACCCATAAAATATGAATTCTAACTAAACAACGTGTTAGAGGAAGTAATTTACTCAATGTGAGGTCTACTTTCCCGCTACCACGGTCCGGCAATAAGAGTTGTCAGATGTAAAATACATCTTCATTAAAAATATTTTTTTGAAAATATTTTATTTTATAATAATCATAATAATAATTATATGTTTCAAGTATAAAAGCATGTACGTACAGTATTTATATAATCACTAAAATATACCGTATTCCACTCAACGGCAGATTTCAACTGAAAACATTGACCCGAAACGTCTTCTTGGTATATTTGAGTTGATTTTGACCCATCACCAAAATAGATTGTTGACGCTTGATCTGAATCAAGAGAAGTTGAGGAAATTCAGTGTCTTGTGCTAACACAGCGAACATTTTTTTCCAGTATTTTTCTTCCTAATAATAGCAGTTTATTTATTTCGTCTGCTACAAAAGAGAGCAATGGGACTTACGAATGCATCGCCATAAATAAAGTTGGAGCAAAGAAGAAGAAAATCGACCTCTTTGTTGAATGTAAGTAAAAAATGTCCAACTGCAAATCAAATTATTTCTGCTTATAAAGATATAAATAATTTGAAATTTTCGAAAAATCGGACATATGACACTTTATAGGTGTATTTTACTTTATTATTACAAGAAATTTACAGAAAAAGTTTGGAGCCCCTAAAAAATTGCACTTTTTCAATTTTCGAAATATCTGAGGTTTTTATGAAAAAATGTCCTGCACCAATCCTTTAACCAACCCTAACACTATCCGAGGACCAAGTTTAATAAAAATATTTTTGTAATTTTTGTGAAAATTTTGAAAATGTTTCAAAGTTTAGTAAAGTACCCTCAAAAATTCAAAATATATGTTTCAAACTCTCAAAGTCTAAGTTCGGTCAGATCGACCGAGGAATATCAGTTTTGGAGAAAATCGACTGAACGCTTTAGCCATTAGCGTTGAGCATAGACATTCGGACGGACACAGACGTACTGCCGTCAGAACTCGTTTTTTCTGTTTGGATAATGAAAGTTATTTTTTTTCAATAATTTTGTTACATTTTAAGATTTTTTCTGAATTTTATTGAGAACTCTCTTTGACCGCAATTAAGTATTCATCAAATTCCGATATTTCTGATTGCTCGCAGCACATTTTTTGGTTTTGAATAAATTTTTTTTGTGGCAACTTTTGAATTTTTGCAGAACTTTTCTCGAAACTTTTTAGAGATTTTAGAACTCTTTGCTCGCCACTCATAACTATCAACATTTTTATGATATTCAAAATTCACCCCGCCAACCTCACACATCTCTAGCTTTGACGACGGACAGTCGATCAGACAGTGACAGTCAGACCGACAGACGGAGAGAGAAACAGACCAATTCCGTCAGCCAAATTTTCGATAGCAAGGACTCCTAAAACATAGAATCTGACTACACAATGTATTAGAGGAAGTAATTTTCTGGCTGTAGGAACACGATTTATCTAAATTTTCGTTACCATGTCCCGACAATACGAGTTTTTTTGCCGAAAACTCACCAGTTTTCACACACTAATAAGATGCCCGTAGCTCAGAGCGAAGTAGTTGGCCTTCACCAAGGAGGTCCGGGTTCGATTCCTGGAAAATCGCATGTGAAATTCGTGCCGACAACACGAGTTTACCTGCTTGGCAGGAGCTAGTCCATCCTTATGAAGCGTCCTCAACCCCACCACTTTCCTAATTTCTTCCTAATTCTGGCCGCTGGGTGGTAACGCAGGAGCGCATCTGAGAGGCGCATACTCGGGGACGCTACCTGTCGGTCCTCTTGACAATGACCCCTCTTGACGGACTATTACGGTTGTACAGTAATGGAGAATTATACCAAAACTCAACACCCAACAAGAGTTAGGAAACTCATTGCGGCGTTAGGAATACACAATAATTTACATATATATGTTATATACCTCTGTTTTGAAGTATTTATTATCAGCTGATTTCACGGTAACTGGGAAATTATTAAAAAGCTGTTCAGCAATGGTAGAAAGGATTATTGTTAGTTGCATAATTACTAGTGTATATCCTGTGTCCTGTAGTATAGTAGTTATGTATGTATATATGTAAGTATGTACGTATTGATGTATTTTTTAAATAATTTGAAAAATCTTCTTTAACAACATTTTCAACAGTTTC